GCCGCTGAGCCCCTAGGCCAGGTTCATGGCTTAGGAGCCCTCCTGCCCGCCGCACTCCCAGCATGGGAAAACTTCACTCCAAGCCGGGTCAGTGTCCCTGCGGCGCGCGCCCGCCGTTGTGGGTGGGTGGGGGGTCCTCCCCACTTCCGACCGCCACCCTTACCTCCTCGAATGCTAACTCTCGCTCTCCTTTCTTTCTGGCCCCCGCTGTCCCCGCGCCCGGCCCGCGACGTGCCTGCAGCCGCTGCAGTGTGCAAGCGCAGGGAGAGCCCAGAAGGTAGGCGGCGCGCCGGGCACGGCGCCTGGGGACAGACGGGCACGGCCGGGTGGAATGGCCCCGTTTCCCGGAGGATCTGATGACCAGGGCTACCACCTGCCCAAGGCGGCCACCCGTCTCAGACATCTGCTCCTGGAGCAGCCTGCCGACCCCCTCCTCTGTTCCTGGGGTCCCATTCCCGGGACCCGGCTTCCGACCCGAAACCTCTACCCACCTCTAGCTTCGATGCCCTGCGCGCGCTCCCTCTTCAGACTCTCAGATACCTCCTTTCAAGATCCTGCCCTCCCCCGAGCCTCCTTTCATCTCCCAGCTCCTTCTTTGGAGAGCCTGACCCTGAGCCCTCTCCGCATCTTGGCCTCCGGCGTTCAGTCTTTGGACCCCTAAACCAGGAGACACCTCCCTCCCCGTACACCCCCACTCCCTCGACACACACACACACACACACACACACACACACACACACACCCTCCTACCTGTGTCCTCCCCCACTCCCTCGCCTGCCCCCTATCCCTCTGGTCCCAGTTCCCGTCTGTGTTCCTGCTCTTGGAGCTTCCTCTGAACTCACATGTTCCCAGCTTCTGCCCCAGCGCTCGAAACCCTGGCCTTCTCCTCCCCTTCACGTCTTTGCTTGATTCTGTGTGTCTTGCCTCCCTCCCCTCTCCAGTAACTTTCTGCTCAGGGACCAAACTCAGCGGCTGCTTGTCCTCCCATCGCAGGTGACAGCTTCGCGGTGAGTGCTGCCTGGGCTCGGAAAGGCCTGGAGGAGTGGATGGGCAGGAAGCGCTGCGCCGGCGTGGGACCAAGACAGCCAAGAGCAGCTGCAACTACTGGGGTAAGGTCCACACCCCAACCCATCCTTCCATCCCTTCCAGCTTCAGAGTTGTGTCTCCATAGCCACCCAGTAATTTTAAAGCACCCTTTCTGGTACAGCTTCTGGGACCAAACCTATTTCCCCAGCTGCCCTGACCCCCCTGGCCCCACATGGCACTGCGCTCCCATGCCTTGAGGACTTCTGGGGTAAAAGTCTAGGGGGAGAGTTGGTGCAGGTCCAGTTGATGTGGGAAGTCCTGGGCTGCAGAGATCTGAGCACCGCTCTGACTTCGACCTTGGTTTTTGTGGGCAGAATTGACAAGTAGATTTTTAGAGAGCAAAATATGATCTGGATGACAAAACTCAGGCTTGACTTAGAGCCCCACTCCTAAGCCTATGCTCAGTGGGCCCCCAGATTGTTCGGTGGGGAGGAATAGAACAAATGAGTAAGCCCCAAATTGTTCCTTGGTGAGAAATAGAATGAGTCGGAGTGACAGGTGGGTAAGAGAGTCCCAGTTCCTGGTCTGGGACTGGCGTTCACTGATGTCCTGTGAGCTCCAGAACTCTGCCAGGGGCAGTCTGCGTGGAACTTGAGGAAGCCAAGAATCAAAGGATGAGTCAACTTTTTGATGTGACATTTAATTTTTACTTGAAGGAGGAAAAGACTCCGTCTCAGGTCTGGTTAGTTCTTTGTTCTTGATCATGAGCTTAGGAAGGACAGAGTGGAGCTTCAGATGTGTCTATATATTTGGGACAGTGGGACCTGGGCTGAATGCAGCTCAGCTACAGGGGCCAGTATTGGGAGGTGGGGCTATGTATAAAGTTGATTCTGGTGCCTGTATGGAATCAACTCCTTTCTCTTTCCCTATTCCACTGCTGTATAAGCTTTTCTCTTTTTTATTTTTCTCCATCGGTTGCTTGGGTTAGAATTGGAACTGCTGTCCCCTCAGTAAATAGCAAAACTTGGGGCTCCTTTAAAACAGATCTATAAACTTCCTCTCCTTCCCCTGCCAGTTGTTGTTTTTGGTCTGTTTCTTGATTTAAAACCCGATGAAAATAATCCAACTCAGCTTGATGAACAAATATATTTGCAGTTCAAGACAGAGGTCAACTGAGTGGATTTCCATACATCAAGTTTGGGGGGTTTTCAGCCTGTTTATTTTTACAAAGTATTCTTGCGGCATGACAATTACTTGTAGTCCTTGTTCTCTTTTCGTTTTTCCCTTTCCTAAACTGTCAGGCAGCTTGCTCCATGCTACGGGGGATCTTAAAGACGAGAGGGCTTACTTCAATTGGCTTTTATCTTCAAAGCCCTAACAAATGTCAGCCGCGTGTTTTCGTGGGTCACCTTGGCACCCAGTTTGGGAGGATGGAAAGGAGAAGGGAAAAGGGAGTGGAAAACAAAAGTCTGTCATTTTAAATTAAAGCATCGTGTTCTCCACAATGGGAATGTGAGCCAGTAAAAGTTGCCATTGAGGAAAGGAGGGAGGGTGGGGGTGGGGTGGGGTTCAGTTTAAGTCAGTGGCTTTGATGAAGTCACAGAATCTTGATGCCTTGCTTTCCCCAGCTGGGGACGGCATGAGCCAGTGCTTGCTTGCCCCCTGCTTCCCTCACCCCCCTCTCTCAGGGAAATGCTGAGGGATCATTAATATTTGTTCAAAGCACTTTTGAAGATGTGAGGCACAGAGCCATTAGTGTGACATTTGTTGGGCAGTTGGAGAATGGACCCAGACATCAGAGATGTTGGGATTGGGGGGGGGGGGGAGGGGGGCGGGACGCGTAAAGAGGCGATGTCTTTTTTTTTTAACAGTTTTATTAGTGTTTCCTCCATATGGCATACAACTCAATAATTCAATCATATCAAGAAGAGTTGTACAATTGTCACCATGTTCAATTCTAGAACATTTTCTTTTTCCTTGTACTCATTGTTATTTGTGTACTTATTTTTTCTAATGGTGGCAAAAATATATACAATAAGATGTTCTTCAATTCCACAACTTCTACTGCTCTAATTTAGTGGAGAGGCTATGTTTTAAAGAGAATGTCGTTGTTATAGGGCCCAAACACCTGCATTATTACCAGCCCTAGCCCAAGATCACCCAAACCTGGCCCTGTGTTTCATCTGGGAGATGGTTCAGGTGAGCTGAAGTATACGCTGTCTTTCAAGGTGCCAGGCAGCATGCCTGGGCTCTCTGAGGCCATTTCATGTGTACTAGTAGGGGTATTTTTTGTTTTAATAGCCCTGTGTTTCTTTTACCAGAAAAAAAAAACCCACATAGAAACATGCATGCCTCCACTTACAGATACTAATCTTGTGGTAGCTGTGCAGGAGCCATATTGACCAGGAAATGAACCTGGTCTCATGCAAAGAAGGGTAGGTAGAATTCTACCACTAAATCACCAGTTGTAGTAATAGTTGCCATTTATTAAGTGCCTGTATGTATACTTTACTTACATGATTTTAATCCTTCCTGTAGACCCGTTAAAGTTGCAAACTGACTGGTGTGGACTGTGCTTTTCCTCTTCTCTGGAGCACTTTCTAGGAGAAAGGAAGCCATGTGCGACAATGCCTTGTGTCCTGCTAAGTCATTCTGGAGAAGTGGTATATGGACCAGTAGTGAGCATTTGGGGTGAGCTGGTTGTGGGGCAAATAGAAGTGGGAGGTGGCCCTCCTGCCTTCTTCTTCCCTTGGGTCTGAAGAGGTAGGCAAGTAGTCAGCACATGAGTATTAAATGAAGGCTACCCTCCTGCATACAAACATAAGTGCGGCCAACTTTTGCCCTGGAAGATTTGTCACCATGTATAGCCACTTCCCTTTGATATGCCTTAATCCCTTATCTGTAAAATGGGTACGATAGCATTCGCCTCCTTGGCAGGGTTGTGCTACATAACCCTTCAGAAAGGCTAAAACCTGCAGAGGAGGAAGCGCTAGAATTGACAGTGATTGCACAGCTCAGTTTGAAGGCGATGTGACCATGGGGGGAAAGAGGGAGGCTCTAAGATAGGTGTAGTGGTGATTGTACACCTCCCCTTGATATGATTGAACAATTGACCTGTTCAAATGTATGATAGGTGAAATATGTGCCAATAAAACCGTTGGGGGGAAAATCCTGTAAAGAATGGTGCTGGAACATTTGCTGAGAGACTGGTAGGGATTGGTGGAGATAGGAAGGGGTGGGCGTCTAAGCAGGTCAGGCACAGAGGGAAGTGTGAGCTTCTGCTCTTTCCTTGTGGACACAAGGAACTCCTGGGGAATATGCACGCTTAGGAGAAAAATAGTGAGGAAGGGGAGTACTTTGAAAGACAAAAGCAGCCCCCCTGATTCAGTGCTTGCCTCTAACTGAAAGGCTGCTCTGTGGGAGAAAGACTGACGTGATTGGCTCCTGGAAGATCATGGCCTAGAAAACGACGGTTCTGCGCTATCACAGGGAGTTACTATGAGCTGAACTCAACTCGACAGCACCTAGCAACAACATAAAAGGCAACAAACGGAACAGTTTATGTGCCGGACAACAATGAACATGAACCAGAAGTTGAAGTGAAAATAAGCATAAAAACCTTATCGAGATGAAAGAGAATATTGGACACATGAAGCAGAAGCAGACAGTCATGAAAGAAAACCAAGTGAAATACAGGGCATGGAAAATACGATGGGTCAAACAAACAAACAAACAACAATATGAAGGACGGACTGGTTAGCAGAGTGGACACAGAGATGGGGATAGACATGTGCATCTGTATACATACAGGAAAGGGTATTATTTAAAGCAACCCCCTCACCGCCCTCCAATTTGATCCTCTTTTATAGCAGAGCTGCACGAAGAAATAGGCTGAAAGCCTTGGCCAGGCAAACCTGTCTCTGGATCAAAGACAGCTGCCAAGCGGTTTGGTAACTTGATTATGTGGTACCTGGCACATCTGATATTTGGGGGAGCTTAGGAAGGTGCAGGCTCAGTTGGAGTCCCCGTGGACTTAGGCTAGGTGATGAGATTGGAGGCTGGCCTAACTGCTGGCACAGTGCTGGATTCCAGGGGGATAACTCTTGAATGGTACCAGTTGCCACAGTGGAAAGGCCCCATGTCTTCACCATATGGAAAGTGTTAGGTCTCCTTACGTGGTTTCAAAGCTATGTGCTGGGAAGTAAACTCGACATTTGATGTAAGCATAAATTAGATCTTTGGTATTTCAGAATTAAAAGATGGTTTGCTTTGAGGTTAGAGGAGCACCTGAGGTTGAGGCATTTAGGCTTTCTCTCATTGGCAGCCTGGAGTATCTTCTCTTCCTATTGGTACCTTGGGCCAGCCTAGCATTCTGACTTGCTCTATCCCTGGGGACTGGGAAGGAGAGATGGAGAAAACTGAAATGGGGCAGAAGGCCAGGTGGAGCTTCTGGTTTCCAGTAAGCCTGGGTTCTTTGTTGGTGGAAGGCAAGGGCATCCTATTCCGAGTGCCTTCATTCATCTCTGTGAAGTGGTCACTGGTAGATGCTTCTAGGAGTCTCTTGTCCACTCTCCAAGACTTTATTCTTTGAAAAGTAGGCTGCTTCCTCCAGAGTGAGGCCTGCATGCATGTTCTATCTGTTCCCTAGATTTCAGGAAGCACCCATCTACTGTCAAATCTTATAAGGATATTGTAAATCTAGGAAGCTGTTAACTGGGAGGGAACTATATCATTTTATATAGAGTCCTAGATCTTGGGGAACTTTTTATCCCCTCACCTAGTGAGGATGTTAGACATGGGGATGGAATGTGGATGACAGAGTGATCTTCCTTTAAAGAAGTTCTTTGTACCAGGAAGCTCAAGCATCACCGAGGAATCAGACTGTCCCCTTAGGCATTTAAAACATCAAGGCTGGATCATTGAGCGATACAAGAATTACTTTCTGAGTTAAACTTCTTCACTGTGGTATCCCTAGGGCAAATGATAGACATGTTGAATGAATAGAAGATCAAGGAGGCCATTCTTTGTGCCTCTCCTCCACATCTTCTCCCCAGCTGGCTTGTCTCCTTTTATTCCTGCTTAA